TGGTCAAGATAAAGAGAGTTTAAAAATGCGAAGCCAAAGCAACACAAAATGGTCAGTTGTGAAACGGCTCAAAAAGAAGCAGCAAATGCGAAGCCAAAGCAACACAAAATGGTCAGTTGTGAAACGGCTCAAAAAGAAGCAGCCTTGGAGAAAGAAGGAGTTAAAATGTCAGCTGGGGTCCTTCTTTTGAATCCCCTCTCTCCCAACAAGGTCGACAACACCATTTTGCTGCTTCAAGACATCCTTGTGCTGGTCTCGGGCCTACTCCCTACGTTCCTGCATCCTCTCTTGTCACTTGTCACAGCTCTGAGGAGTTGCAGGCCCCGTTTGTGCTCAGTCAGGCCACATTTGGTGGATCTTACCAAATCCCCGAGGTGATCAATTGTCTGAGAGAACAGACCGAGTTGATAGGAAGGAACACCAGAACAGGAAGTGGTGGCTTCAGCAATTTTAGGACGAACCAAGGTCACTCCGACCTTGCCAAGTTCACCAGGAAACTACCCAAATTAGGAAGAGTTCAGAAGTTTAACCCGAGGAAGACTCACAAGACGATCCCCCCGCCCTGATGAAGGCACCGGAACTCCCACCAGACGACTCCCCAAGATGGAAGACTCCGCCTAGATATGAATATGCGTGTAAAGATATGAATATGCGTGTAAAGATATGAATATGCGTGTAAAGATATGAATATGCATGTCAAGATGATGTACCCTACACTCAAACTTGTCTAAAAAAGCTGCGCTGATTGCTAACGGGCGGAACTCTGTGTCCAGGGCGGCCTGGAGAGTTCCCCAACGCGTTGCTCATCAATACCTCCTGCTTATGGACTGGAAAACTGAGTCTATTTTCTGGGCAGTTTCTATTTTCTGAGCAGTTTCTATTTTCTGAGCAGTTTCTATTTTCTGAGCCTGCAGTTTCTGTTTTCTGAGACTGCAGTTTCTATTTCGCCTTTTGGGGCAAATTCGGCATCAGTTGGAGGACAGCTGGCCCGGCCGTGTCCCCTCCCAACTCCCTGTTCACCCCGTGCTGGTTTTGTCTGGGGTGGAGTCAATTCTCTTCCTCGTCATCGGTGGGTGGGCTGTTCTTCGGATTGTGCTGAAAGGGTTTTGTTCCTGCTGAGCAGCGCTTACACGGCGCCAGGGCCTTTTCTGCTCCTCACGCTGCCCCACCGTTGAGTGGTTTTGGGGGTTGGGGAAGAGGAGGGGAGCGGACTTGGCCAGGACCTGCAAAGATCATCCAGTTCCAGCCTTGAGCAGGGACATCTTGCTCGAGGACCAGTCCAACCTGACCCTGAGCACGGGTCACAAACAGCTCCCCCGGGGCATCCTCTGGAAAACCACCCGCCCACACTTGAGAACGTCGGGCTGAGCAAGGAAAAAGGTGGTTTGGAGGAAGAAAAGGGTTTTGGGGGGGTGTCTCCCAAGGAGGGTGTAGCTCTGAAACGGTCTGGGCAGGTGGGAGGAGGAGAGCGTTTGCTTGTGCATCACCTGGTTTTCCATCCTTTATCAGGATCCTTTATCCTTCCCTTATTAAACTGCCTTTTCTGAGTGTTTGTGTAGAGACGATGGCTTTCACTTTCGTCTCTCGGACCCGCTCTCGTTTCCAGGGCAGGAGATAAAAGGCTGGAGAGGACCCAGGTTGAGGAGAAGCTGCTGCAGCCCAGGGCAGGTGTCGAAGGCGACAGGGAGTCCCTTCCTCTGATGCCTCCTCTGTTGCTGGAGCGAGTCCCGGGGGGGGTCCAGAGGTTGCTCCTGGGTCTGTGCGTGGGATGGACCCTTGTGCTGCCTCCACTGGAACCTTGGGAGATGCTGGGGGGTTTAACCTCCTCGCTGCCGGGGTGTGTGAGGAGCAGAAGAGGCCCTGGGGGCAGGTTGACCCACTGCGTTTGGGATGGTTGCACAAGGTTCAGCTGCAAAGCGAGTTTAGTTGAAAAAATTTAGCTTCTTTTTTCCTTTTTTTTCCTCATATCACATGCAAAAAAAACCCCACGTAGCTTTGTTGCGTCTTGAGATAAACCCAAGACATGGAAATAATCAACAGTCAATTTTCCTAGGAATAAAAGGCTGTTGGATTTTTTTTTTTATTCTTTCTTTCCGTTTTAGATCGAATGCGTCTCGAAGCAGCAACGTTCTGAAAAGAAAAAACCAGGAAGGAATATTAATCAAATGTGAAAATGTGGCGGGGAAAAGAACAGCCTCAGGAAAAATGTTTTTAGAGATCGCTTGTCGAGCACACCCTCATTTCTTTGGCCTGTTTTAGGCCAAATGGTTGAAGAAACGGAGAGCGGATTTCGGTTCCATCGTACCGGTGCTTTTCATGTTTTTGGCCCCAAATCCAAAGGGCTGGAGGAAAGGAGAGATGGAAGCCCCTCACGGGCTGGTGGGACTCTCCAGCCTGTCCTCTTGCCCTCGAGCCCCTTGCTGGGGGCACGGCCCCAATGATCCTCTCAGCTGCCCCCCAAGTGGTGCTCAGGTCCTCGCGCGGAGCATTTGATGCAAAACAAAGGGCTGTAGCTTGGCCAAAGGCTGCAGTAGGATGATAATGAGTTTGGACACCCCTTTGGGCTGCGGGGGGTCGTTAACCAGCTCGTTAACCGTCTGCCTCGTTGGGAACAGCCCGAGGAAGGGGCTGGTGGTTCAGCAGGAGGCCCTGGAGGTGCTGTCAGAGGTGACCCAGCCGGTGGTGGTGGTGGCCATCGCAGGGCACCGGCAAGTCCTACCTCATGAACAGGCTGGTTGGTGGGAGGAAAGGTCCCAGCCAGAAGGTCCAGGGGACCTGGGTTCTCCTCCTCTGTCTTTAACACTGGTGAGGCCCTTGTGTCCTCCCCACAGGTTTCTCCCTGGGCTCTGGGGTGCGGTCCCACACCAAAGGGGTCTGGATGTGGTGTGTCCCTCACCCCTCCAAGCCTGGACACGCTCTGGAAGGGCTGGGCCACGTGGAGAAGGTGTGGAAGGAGCAGCAGCTGCTTCGGGGTGTTCCCAGCACTTTGTCATCCAAGTGACCGGAGACCTGAGCCTAGAGGCCGTGGAGATGGAGGTTGGGGGTAGACAAGGGGCCAAATCCCTCTGTTTTTCTAGGAAAGAGCAGAAGAGGAAGAAAAAAGCAGCTCTTTGCTCCAGTTGTGTGGCCATCTCTCTTCTGAGGAAGGTCTGAGGGACTTGGGTCTGTTTTAGTCCGGAGAAGAGAAGGCTGAGGGGGGATCTGAGGAACACCTAGAAATACCTAAAGGGTGGGTGTCAGGAGGATGGGGCCAGACATTTTCCAGTGCGGCCCAGTGACAGGACAAGAGGGAACGGGCACCAAGTTGTCCAGAAGAAGTTCCATCTAAATATGAGGAGGAACCTTTTCACTTTGAGGCCTGCAAAGCCCAGGACCAGGCTGCCCAAAGAGGAGGTGGTGGAGTCTCCATCTCTGGAGACGTTCACCTGGACAAGTTCCTGTGCAACCTGCTCTAGGAGGACCTGCTTTGGCAGGGGGTTGGCCTAGATGGTCTCCAGAGGTCCCTTCCAACCCCATTATGGGATTCTGTGAGGCCAGGACGAGCCCACCTGGAGAAAGGGGTGGTGATGGCATGGGGGTGGGTCTCTCCAAAAACCTGGTCTTACCGTGGCCTGTTGGAAAGGGGTGTTCAGGGGGGGCTTTGCTCACACTTAATGGGTCTTGTTGACCAAGAGCCAAGGGCTGTCCTCCAGGGTGACACCGAGAACGACACCTGGATCTTTGTGCTCACAGTCCTGCTCTCCAGCACCCTGATCTACAACAGCAGAGGCACCATTGACCAGCAGGCCATGGAGCAGCTGCAGTATCCTTGATGGGACAGCAGGAACCAGGGATGGGCTCCTCTCCCGGTGGGCTGGGCAAGGGGTTGAGAAATCCTAGTTCCCCAAACAGCCTTCTGCTGTTGTTCATGGACGTACTTTGTGTCCTTAGGAGTGCCACGCTGGGGACCTCTGGGCTGAGGGCTTTTCTCCCTCTTCCTTCTGGTGGTTCCAGGCTGTTCTCTGTCCCCATAGAGTCTCCTCTCTTGCCCATGACCTGCAGAGTGGTTGCCGGATGGCTGTGCCCCTGCGTTCGGAGCCGAGGTCCCTGTTTCCTTAGCCAGCTCCCCAGCTACGTGATGAAGCTGACCGAGCAGGTCAAGCTGAAAGCAGCACCCGGGCAGAGTGAAGAGGAGCAGGAGGATCCAGAAGAAGTTGCCCCCTTCTTCCCGGCTTTTGTCTGGACGGTGCAGGATTTCACCATGCAGCTGGAGATGGATGGGAAGGGAATCTCTGAGGACCAATACTTGGAAAAGGCGCTGACGTTGAAGGCTGGTAAGGGGATGGTGCTGTGCTGCTGGAGACCTCCAGCCCCAGACACAGCAGCATTTCGGTGTCAGGCAACAAGAGCCCGAGCCTGGGGAACTTGCTCCGTGTCCTCTTGCCCCACAGGAAGCAGCTCTGAGATCCAACGCTACAACCAGCCCCGGGAACGCATCCGCAAGTGCTTTGTTTTTGACCAGCCAGCCCCCAAGAGGGACCTGGCCCGCTTGGAGGAGCTTTGGGATGATGAGATCGATCCTAAATTCCAGCAGCAGGTGGAGAAATTCTGCAGCCACATCTGGGAAAAGTCTCCACCTAAGACCATCCCTGGAGGCCGCATCATCACAGGGAGCTGTGAGTAGGGCTGTCTGGAGGGCTGGATGGGCAGCAGCTCTTGGGACTGCGTCTGGGGAAGGATCAAATGATGCAAGTGGGGAAAAGGAGAGGCTTTCTGCTGGCTGCCCTCCCCACCTCTGGAGTTGGAGCTCCTGGATGTTGCAGGTGGGGAAAGGGAGAGGCTTTCTGCTGGCTGCCCTCCCCACCTCTGGAGTTGGAGCTCCTGGACGTTGCCATCCAGGGGTGGGAGAGAGTTAGGAAAAGAAGTTGAGGAAAGTTGTGGTAATATCTGAAACGGGCGGTGACCAACAACTATCGGAATGGGAGACTCCCAATCCAAAATTTACCTATCCAAAACCTCGTAACTGGCGAAAAAGGGAATTATTGGACTAAACTACTAACACAAGGGCGTGGAGTTGCAAATTTTGAAAAGGATAAGATTAGTAACAATTGGTTGACTAGAGGCATTCCTCAGAGAAAGTTAATTACAGCGTTACAGCTACGTGCTAACATCTATCCTACAAGGGAATTCTTGGCAAGAGGACGGTCAGAGACATATATCAAATCCTGCCGTCACTGTCAGGCCGACAATGAAACTTGTGCGCATATAATTGGATCCTGTCCATGATGCGAGAATTAAAAGACATATAACCAAATTTGTCAAATATTGGCAGAGGAGGCCAAAAGTAAAGATTGGCTGGTATATCAAGAACCACTAATAAGAGATCAAAAGAATGAATGATTTAAACCTGATTTGATTTTTGTGAAAGGGAACCAAGCAATCGTAACTGACATAACCATAAGATATGAAACATCGTTAACAACACTGGAAGAGGCTGCAATAGAGAAAACTAAGAAGTATGCTCTTTTGGCAACTCAAATTCAGGACCTGACGGATACTTCTGTTATAAATTTTACAGGTTTTCCTTTGGGATCTCGTGGTAAATGGTACTCAAATAACTTTAAAATTTTAAAGGAATTGGGTCTCTCCAGCTCCCGACAAGAAAAGGTCGCCAGACGATTGTCAAACTATGCTTTATTCAGCCCGGTGGACATCGTTCACATGTTTGCGAGTAAAGCCAGAACGGAGGTAAGATGAATTTATTTCAATTTATGTAGAATTGTAGAATTTAGATGTAACTAAGTAGATATGTAGGAAATGTAGTATGTAGAACTGTAGATTGTAAGTAGCATGTAATAAAAATGGACTGGGATCTCATGATGATTACAAAAATCATGACGCTCACTGGATTGACTTGGTAGGTGGACGGGCCACCTTCATAAAACCCAGAAAAAGTTCACATACCTTGTTAGGTGTTCGTAAATTTAGTAGCCCCCACCCCCCCTTTAGTAGCCCCCACCCCCCTTTAGTAGCCCCAAACCCCTTTAGTAGCCCCCAAACCCCTTTAGTAGCCCCACCCCCCTTTAGTAGCAGGGAGGTGGCAGGAGCTGAAGGGGAGCCGGTGGTTTGTCCCAGCTGCAGATCTCTCCCCCTTGGTCCTCCTTGGCAGTGCTGGGCAAACTGGCAGAGACCTACGTGGAGACCATCCAGAGCGGGGAGGAGCCGTGCCTGGAGAGAGCAGTGCTGGCCCTGGCGGCGGTGAAAGAGGCTGTGAAGTTCTACCAGGACCTGATGGAGAAACGGGTGAAGCTGCCGACGGAGACGGTTGAGGAGCTCCGGGATCTGCCAGCGGGAGAACACGGGAGATGCTCCAGAAACGGGCGTTTGAAGAAGACATCTGCTCTTTCCAGGACGTGTCCCTGCCCTGGCTGGAAGCCCGTAGCCTCCTACGCTTCCCCTGTCCTGCTGACTAAGTCTTGTCCCCGTCTTTTGGGAGGTCCCCGGCATGCTCTCTGCTCCTGGGCACCTTGCTCCAGAGGTGTCCGTGGGTGCAGAATGGCCTCCCCATCTGTCACCTCCCCGCCCATTACCCCACAGACTGGAGATCCTGGTTGCCATGTCAACATGATTTTTGCCCAGCACGAGAGCGGTGGCTGCAGCTCAGCCTGGGCTGACGCCTTCCCTCTGCATCTCTCCTGACAGCGCCAGGTGGAGGAGATCAAGGAGAAGTTCCTCAGGGACAACGAGCAGGCATCCCATGACAAGTGCGAGGCTGGTCTCGAGGTCATCCTCCAAGATCTGGTCATAAAATTCATTAATGGTGTCTACTTTGTGCCAGGGGGTTACGAGCTGTTCGAAGGAGACCAGCAGGCGCTGGTGGAGAAATATCAGGAGGTTCCTGGCAAGGGGGTGATGGTAGGAACAAGAGCAGCTCCCCTTCATGGGGAGAGCTCCATGGCCCATCTCCTTTCCCAGGAACCATTTTCTCCTGAGCTGCTCTTTCTGTCCTTGACTCTTCTTCCATCTTTGGCCCTACAGGCTGACGCTGTCCTGCAGGAGTTCCTCAAAAGCATTGAGCTTCTGGATGAAACAATCGTCAAGACAGACCTGGCCCAATCAAGTAAGTCCTGGGCAGGAGACGTGTCGTGGCCTATCAAGGGCCAAGCTTGATGGGGGAGGCCCGAGTACTCCTTGGAGGCTGGTGGGATGTCCTGGTTTGGCCTCAGTTGGCAAGAAAGGACCCCTGAGCCCCCCACCGAGGGGAAAATGGGAAGAAAAAGGCCAAACTCCTGGGTTGAGACAATTGAGGCAGGAAACAACAATAAAACAGTGAGAGAGGAACATACCACCACGATTACGATACCGACACTCGCACCCTGGACACCCCAAACCTCTCTCCTCCCCGGGGGTCACCTCCTCTCCCCCACCCCGACTGTCTGTCCCTCCCCTTCCCCGGCAGCTCCAACTGCCCTTGGGATGCCCATGGCATATCCCATGAGTCCCTGCTGGGTCCTGGGCACGATTGACCCCCATCCCCACCAGACCCAGGACAGTAAGAGGGAAAGGGAGGGGTGCAGTGTCCCCAAATAATAGAATTCTGTTAAACTTTGCCAGCCTTTCCTGCAAGATGCTTGCCACAGAGTATGGAAGTGACTGCCCTGTTCCCTCGCACCGCACAATCTAGTGCTTTCACATAGGTCTCCTCCAGGAGAAGATGTTCTCTTCCCTCCCAGAGCACTTGGTGTCTGGCTCCATCTGAAGGCCCAGAGAACATCTAAAGCCAGGGTGGCCTGGGGCACACCAAGGCCGACAGGCGGGTCAGGGAGCATTTTGCCATGCTGAGGACATGTCACCGGGGCATGTAACACACCTCTTCCCGAGACCTCCTCACCAGGGCTGGGGGAGACTTGCCCGAGAGAGCCCTGAGCCCACTGCTGACATCCTGGGCTCACCCTTACTGCAGCTGTGGGAAGCAGCACCGAGGTGGTGAGTCGAGCAGGAATCCACGTGCTGAGCGCTCCCTGGTTTGCTTGGCATCAGTCCTGGGCAGAGTGACCCAGAGGAGAGAGCCCTTGACGCAGGGATGGGTGGATGAAAGCCGTCCCCTGCCATGGACCCACCCTGCTCCTTAGCAAGGCTCTTCTCGCTTCCAGAGAACCATAGAATGGTCCAGGTTGGAAGAGACCCTTGGGATCATTGAGTCACACCATCTCCCCTACTCTGCTAAGTTCACCCCTACATCATATCCCCCAACACTACATCTAATCGGCTCTTTGAAGCTGTGAGGACCTTCTGGCCATAGGGCTGTCCTGCTCTCTGCTCGCTCCCCCCATCCCCCTGCTGCTCTCCCTTTGTTCTCTTCAGAGCAAGAGACCCCCCCAGGTGCCGCTCCCTGAGGGTGATCCAGCAGGAGGTGGCTGTAGAGGGCTCTTGGGAGGCGTATGTCCTATTGCCCCGCTGTTGGCTGGGGCAGAGTGAACGTTCTCCTCAGGTGCCGCCAGTGTGGTTCTCAGTTTTGGGTTTGCTGATGAGCCCTCCCTGTTTTTGCTATCCCAGACCCCCGTGCCCCTGTGCTCCAGCAGCAAAAGGTGGGGGGAAGAGAGAGGTGGTGTGGAGGAATGGCTGTGTGAAAAAGGCCACGATTTAATTGCAATGAGCAACCCAGTCTTTGATGTAGATAAAGGCCTGGAGATGACCATGAACTTTCCTGGGAAAAGCAGAAGTAAGAAGAAGCAGCTACTTGGTAGATAAGATAAACGGGACCGCATCCAGAAGATGAGAGAATGTTGCTGCGCGTGGACGTGGGGTCTACACCAATTGTGTGATGGCTCTAGTCGCATGAACAGAGATTGTAAGCCAATCGTAGAGCTACCGCTAGCGCGTGCTCTGCTTGCCTGTCTATATATACTTTGTAAAAACATAAATAAAGGGAGAACGATCATACTCATATTGAGGTTACATCGTTACTCCGGGTCCGTCTCCCACTCCCGACAAGGTGGGGGGGATGTTTGGGGTCACAGAGCCACGGCTACGCGTGATGGAGCCCTGCTCTCCTGGAGATGGCTGAACACCCGCCTTCCAAGGGGAAGGAGGGACTGGATTCCTTCTTTTGCTTTGTTTGCGCGGACGGCTTTTGCTTGACCTATTAAACTGCCTTTATCTCCACCTCTGAGTTGTGTCACTTTTAACCCTTCCCCTTCTCTCCTCCATCCCCAGGGGGTGTGAGGCTTTGCTGCCCACCGGGGTCACCCCACATCACTCATGCACAACAGGGTTTCTCTCTCCCTTCCCTATGGGGAATTACATTTTCAGGTGCACCACAAGACGAAGCAGGGACACCAACTGCTCCACTGGGGTGAAGGTGTAGAGGTTTTTGAGTTCTGTATGGCCAGCGGGGCTGCTCCAAAGGCAGCCACCCCCGTCCCCCCGGTGGCACTAGCCCCTGACGTGACTTTCCTTCTGTGTGGGCACCGCGTCCCTGCAGTGGAGTCTGCAGGTGACAGAGGAAGGTCTGCAGAGCACAGCCCCCGCTCAGCCAGCGAGGTCCTGAAGAGCTTCCTGGGGACCAAACCCAGGCTCTGCTCCTCCACATGCTCTTCTGCCGGTGCCATGTTCCCTCCTGACCCTGCACCACGAGACCCCGCGTCCCTCCTTTGCCACACTCTAGTCAAATTCTGGATAGAATTTGTTTCATCTTTCCCCAAACTTTAATATATAAAACGGCTATAAGCAATAAGCTCAATAAAGTCAAAACTAAGACACCTGCATCCAGATGTAACATCCAATTCACCTCTCCAGTTCCTGTTGGTGACCATCCAAGGGGAGTTTCCTGCCAGGGACGTTCTTCTTCACTCTTTCTTGGAGAGTTTGTGTCCTCTCTGCATCACGACGGACGGTAACGAGGAATCTCTCTCTGCTCTTTCGAGCTCGTTTTAGCCGTTGACACAGGGGGAGGCGATAAATCTGGAGACGAGGTGTCGTTGAAAGGCAGCAGTGGGTGGGTTGTGACAGGAGCTTCGACCTCAGACAGCACCAAAGGGCTGGGAGGAAGCTTCTCTCACGCACACCACACCGCACCCCAGTTTTGGGGGCGGAATCGGAAGAAAAAACGTAAAACCGGCGGGTCGAGCCAGAGGCGGTTTCACAGAAGAGCAAAGGGAAGAGGAA